ATAATCTGCTACTCAGTACAATTGTGGATATTGCAGTCTGGTCTTGAGAAAAGATATCTTAGCAGCAAGCTATCTTTTCTGCTCCATTAAAGGTATATCTGTGAGGCTTTGCCGTAAGAAACTGACTGGCGTTAAGAAACTGTACAGCTGGAAGAAGAAATAGCTCCATCAGCTTTGCCACTTTTTTTATGGCCTACTTTTCTGCTTTTATATTTGTCTCTGAACTCCACCCCTAGCTTAGACTATACTCTGAAAATAGGATGTTCTGAAATAGGATCTTTAACAAAGCTTCCACTAAGATGCTATATTATTTTATGAGGAACTTAAAATGCTTTTGGTTAGTATCAATACAATCAGGAGTCTCTATTTCTGCAGTATTTGAGAATGTGCACTAGATGGTGGTTGCGATTTTAATACTAGGTAAAGGCCCTTCGAGTCTGAATGGAATAAGGAGGTGCAGGGTGATGGGGAGGGTATTCATTGCTCTCTTTCTCTCTCCAGCCTTGCAAAAAGTCCACAATAGTTCACTAGCCCTCCATGGTTTATTGCGATCAGAACTAGTAACTGTGAGACTTCTGACTCTGCTTTTGATTAATCTCAGTAACCTCCGAACTCTTAACAGTAGTTAATATTAACTATAGTTTGCTTGAAACAAACCAGCTTCATAGCCCATGGTCTGAACTCTTTCAAACATGCATACATATCGTGATACAGAGGCTTTTATTTGGTTTGTGAAAGAGTATGGTCTACATACTGATTTTCTGTGTTGATAATGGTGGACAAATCCACAACAAAGATAACCCTGCATGCTATTTCAAATGGGAAAGAAACACAAAATGCAACATAGAATAGAAAACATAATGAACATGATTTAGTAATATTCTAGTAGCTACCACGAAAGCTCCTGCCCACCTAGCAGTTCAAAAGTACGTCAAAGTGGAAGTAGATAAATAGGTACTGCTCCAGCAGGAAGGTAAACGGTGTTTCCGTGTGCTGCTCTGGTTCACCAGAAGTGGCTTAGTCATGCTGGCCACATGACCCAGACCCAGAAGCTGTACTCTGGCTCCCTCGGCCAATAAAACGAGATGAGCGCCGCAACCCCAGAGTCGGCCACGACTGGACCTAATGGTCAGGGGTCCCTTTACCTTTACCACGAAAGCAGGTTCATTTGATTATTCATTATATCTTGTTACTTTCAGCAAACCAGTCAATCACAGCCTCTGGTGAGACTTGATTTGATTTTAGTAGCCTAACACACAGGTAGGTCTAAACCACTGAGCCTCTTGGGCTTGCTGATCAGATGCTTAGCAGTTGGAATCCCTGTGACGGAGTGAGCTCCAGTTGCTCTGTCTCAGCTCCTGCCAACCTAGCAGTTCAAAAGCACGCCAGTGCAAGTAGATAAATGTGTACCGCTGCGGTGGGAAGGTAAACGGCGTTTCCGTGCGCTCTGGTGTTCCATTGTGTCAGAAGAAGTTTAGTCCTGCTGGCCACATGACCCAGAAACCTGTCTGTGGACAAATGCCGGCTCCCTCGTCCTGAAAGCAAGATGAGCACCGCAACCCCATAGTCGCCTTTGACTGGACTTAACTGTCCAGGCGCCCTTTTCCTTTACCATTTTTACCCTTATCTGTTGAAGAATAACAAAAAAAGAATTACTGATAATATGAAGGCTAGCTTTTCCAGAGTAGACTTTTAACAGCTTGGGTCTGATTTCAGAATATTTATGGTTGTATCTAACATTAGTCAAATTCGTCAAGTCTCGTTTAAATTAATGGACATGTCTAACTTAAGCCCATTAATTTCAGTGGGTCTACTCTGAGTGGGAAATAGCTGGATGCAACCCTTAAAATGCAGTGGAACAAACATCAGTGGGTAGGTTTTTCAAGTTTTTCCTCATCTACATTGATGCAACCCACAGTCAGTTTGAATAGCATCTTTCTATCATCTTAGATACAATTGTTTTGGGGACTTCAAAGAAAGGCACAGAATAGACCACAAAAGTAACTTTATAATGTAACTGTTCATTTTTAACATGTCCAGATTCAGAACTGCATGCTTGCTGTGCAACAATATCATTGAGTTTAGGTTAATTAGTGTTCTTGCCTGTGATAGGTCTTTTGGTTTTCATTTCAACTTGTGAAAAGCCACACAGCGAGATTAGAGTATCAGCCTTTGAGACCCTGGATTTTCTTGGGAAGTCAGGGTTACTTATATTGATCACCGCAACAGAAGGATAGCAGTCTGTCTTGGTACCTGTACTCCTTTTTAAAGCCATTATACAGTGGCCTGTTTCTGTACCTTCAAAGGCACAGAGGAGCTTTTCTAACTTCTGTTTGCAGGAGTAGATGAAAGGCAAGAGATACAGAGTTCTTGAGTTTCTTTTGTATAGCCTCAAGCTTCTGTGCCATATTCCATACCCAGCATTTGGCTTCGTAGACTATGGGAAAGTACTTTTAATTCTCAAAGACAGGCAGAGCTGGAAAACTTTGTAGAGAAATCGCAGTGTAACTTGTGTTGCCCGCTGCCTTTTACTCCTTGGGCTGCCTACGCTTGGCTAAAGGAGAACTAGAGGAGAGAACTCCCAGTTTCCAAATATTGGAAAGATTTCTCCTGGTCCAGTTTTTGTTCCTCCAGTGCCCATTTAAGTAACTTGCATTGCAGCCCTAACAATGACTTCTTGAAAGTAAGTTCCCCTCAGTTTAGTGGGGCTCACTCCCAAGTTAGTGGAGTTAGGATTGCAGACACTCGCTTTTTAGAAGTACAGTGGTACCTTGGTTCTCAAACTTAATCCGTTCCAGAAGTCCGTACCAAAACCAAAGCATTTCAAAACCAAGGTGCACTTTCCCATAGAAAGTAATGCAAAACGGATTAATCCATTCCAGACTTTTAAAAACAATCCCTAAAACATGAATTTTACTATCTAACGAGACCATTGATCCATAAAATGAAAGCAATAATCAATGTACTGTACTATAAAATAAATAAGACAGTATTGTAGATTATATATATATATATATATATATATATATAATCTTCTTACCTGCACTGATGATAGTCATTGTTTGGATGGGGGGCCTTTATCCATTTTCACAGTCACATAATCAATAAATCAGTAGATGAACTGGATTCCACACAGTCACAAAAACAAATTAACTAAAAAAGCCTCAAAAACAAAAACGCAAAATAAATAGCAAAAACAGAAGTGCCAAACTTAATCCATTCCGGAAGTCTTTTTGACTTCCAAAATGTTCAAAAAGGCACAGCTTCTGATTGGTGCAGGTGCCCTGGAAACAATAGCCGACAACAGCATCAGATGTTTGGCTTTCGAAAAACGTTCGAAAAATTGAACACTTACTTCCGCGTTTTCAGCATTTGAGAACCAAGGCATTTGAGAACCAAGGTACCACTGTATAACCTTGAATAAAGCTAAAGGTAAAGGGACCCCTGACCATTAGGTCCAGTCGTGGCCGACTCTGGGGTTGTGGCGCTCATCTTGCTTTATTGGCCAAGGGAGCCAGCATACAGCTTCCGGGTCATGTGGCCAGCATGACTAAGCCGCTTCTGGTGAAGCAGAGCAGCACACGGAAATGCCGTTTACCTTCCCGCAGGAGCGGTACCTATTTATCTACTTGCACTATGACGGGCTTTCGAACTGCTAGGTTGGCAGGAGCTGGGACTGAGTAACGGGAGCTCACCCCGTTGCGGGGATTTGAACTGCCAACCTTCTGATCGGCGAGTCCTAAGCTCTGTGGTTTAACCCACAACACCACCCACGTCCCATATAACCTTGAATACCCTTCCCCAATTTTCTCCATGCACAAATCCTTGCACAAGTTCCTTCACATGGAGGAGGGCAACGGTCGCAGTCACTGGGCCCCACTGATGTCATCATGCCTCTCTGGCTTTATACACAAGTTCTGCATATCATCATAATGTGGTACTGATGTGCATAGACATCCTTTCCAGAACTGCTAAATGTGGAAAGCTTGGGCAGGACCATTGGACGTGGTCCTTCTTCCATTCATTATCACAGGAAGGGAATTTGTGAAAGGGGATTTCTGTCTTTTTGCCTATTAACAACCCGGTGTTTTGAGATTTGTCTTGACTTAGTCTTCTCTAACTTAGTCTTCTCTTGACCCACTGCAATCTGGCTTCTGCCTCCAGGAGTCCCCTCACAAAATCACCAATTATTTATTTTCTGCCTGATCTAAAGGTCTTTATTCAGCCCTTGTTCTTCTTGATCCATCTGCGTGGCTACAGTTTATTCCTTTCTCTTGCTTGACTCCCTTTATGCCCTTGGCTTCATTATCAGTGATTCCGTCTTGCCATATATATCATTATTTCAAAAATTCATTATGGGGAATCTCTTCCTTTGCTTTGCTCTAAAGAGAGTAGGTAGGGGAGAACTTTGAGAAGAAGGAAAGAAAAGACTCCTTAGCCTTTTTCCAAACTCTAATATATATATTTTAAGTAAGCACAACACCCTGACCCCACAATGGAAAACCTCCATATAATTTTCTGCCACTTTGCCAGACAGACAAAAAATGATGCCTCTTTCATGGGGAGCAAAGACTTTTGCAAAATAGGGGGTGGGGTTCAACACAGCACTTTAAAAATTAGTAAGCCTACAGGAATTTAGTAATTTGCATTCTGAGATGGAGAAAGTATGGGATTTATGAAATTGGGCATGATGATGAAATGGTGGTTGAATGTATTTTGAGCAAAAGAGGAAGAAGAAACCTGGTCTGTCTATGGAAGCATTTTATTTAGTGAACCCTTGATAATGCCTTGCTGTTTTTTTATTCTTCTCTTCTCGTCTCTTCCCTCCCCTAATGCAAAATTTAATAAGGTTTCATGGCAGCATAACCTTGGATGCAATATACAATTATATTGTGCCATAGCAATGGAAAACAGTTCCACAGTAACTCAAGATACCTTATGGACAAGTCCAATGTTGATTGTGGTAGCTTTTGAAACATATGAGGGACAGATCCACAAATGAAACTGTCAGTCGGTAGAGCATGAGACTCTTAATCTCGGGGTTGTGGGTTCAAGCCTCATGTTAGGCAAAAGATTCCTGCATTGCAGGGGGTTGGACTAGATGACCCTCGTGGTTCCTTCCATCTCTACGATTCTATTATTCTGTGGTAGATGTGTCTGCACCAACATGCAGTAGGTCTTCTGAGTATGGCTCTGCCTTCGCTTAACAACACTGTTCTGTTTATCTTGCTTTCCGATTTTTCAGATGCTTGTTTGGTTTAAGTTTGTGAGTGTTACTCTGCTTACTAACCAGAGTTCTTTAGGCAGCTTTAAAATACAATAAAATAGATAACGGTTACTAGGGCAGCACTGATATGCGTAAGTCTTCCCTCCCATGGCCCAGTTGACTCTGCTGACCTGTAACTGGCTTTTAAAGCAACCAGATAGTAGTTGCTCAAAGCCTCAGGCTTCCTCACTAGGCTGCTGCTGCTGCTGACAGCTTCTGTTTCTGGTGAGAGATACAGGAAACCCTGTGGGACCAAAGCGATTAGCAGATGCTTCTCTGCACCCCAAGTCATAAGATGTTCCAACTCTCACCCGAAGCCTGAATTTTTGCCTCTTATTTATTAAATGTAGCTCTTCACTGAGAACCAGGCCTTTATTTGCTGGGCTCTAGGTGGGTCCTTTGTTTTTACTATCAGGAAAGCCTGAAATATATTGCTTAACAAAATAATACATTTTTGTTTGAAGACATTTTAAAGGAGCAAAACTAATTATATAGTTTTGATGTATGGCACCACTTTAGAATCTCAAAGGAAATAACCAGATGAATCACACTTACTGAAGGCAGATGATTCTTATCTTTTCCTATCCCCTGCTTCTTTCCGTGTATCAGATTCGGCTTTATTCTAAATAATACATTGGGTTTTTATTAAAGAGATAAAGACTTGGTGTTTTGTTTACAAAGACAAGATATAAATTCTGTGTCAGGAAAAAGCATTATCTGACTTTGCCTAGGGAATCTCATTCTGGCAGAGGCTTGGGGTTGTATCCAGCTAAGTTCTACTCAGAGTAGATGCATTTAAATTATTGGTTCCAAGACAGTATTTTCCATTAATTTCAATGGTCTGCTCTTCAGTAGAGCTAATATTGGATGCAAACCTTGGCATTATGAGCACAGAGCACTTGACAGTCTTATTTGGGATGCTGCACAACTGGTTTTATATTTTCAAAACAGTAACTTGGCTTCTTGAAGTGCAAATGGCTGAAAGCCTAATGGTTGGTGGTGGAAGGTTTGGAGGCACAACAGAGGAATCTGAAGAAACTAGCTTTTTCACAGCATCATAGTTATGGTTGTGTGCATGTGGTCCATGCAGTGAGACTTCGAAGTGCAGTTCTGGTAGGGAGTAGGCAGTACACGATGGGGCTGATTTGTAGCACATTCTCACTGTATGACCTGTGGGGCCAAACAAACACATGAAAGAAACACAGTTATCACTTCTGGTTCCCATCTGAAAGGTCCATAGCTGAGGGGAGATGCTGTGCCCCTGCTTTTTTGTGGGACAAATGACTATTTAGATGGCCTTGTGTTCAATTGGAGTCAGTGCTAGCTTGCATTGTGTTGTACTAGCATCTGTGAAGTCTCTGGCACTGTTTGGCTGAGCTGGTGTGCAAACGTTCTAGCTCCTTGTAGATCAAAGTGGTCAGACTATTTTCCTTCTCTTGTGAGAGCTGGACTGCAAAATGGTCAACTTGGGTGGAATTGAAACCTCACAGTGATCCTATGGAAAGGGAGGAATGGCTTTGTGAAGTGGAATGACTGGAAAGAGTTCTCGGGAGGAGATGAAGGAAACTGATGGAGAAAGAAGCCCAGAGATGAGGAAGGAAAAAAGATCCTCTTGCTACCCACCTCACTTTAGATGAGGAAGATGAGGGAACCAGGCAGAGGGCCTTCTCAGTAGTGGCACCCACCCTGTGGAATGTCCTCCCATCAGATGTCAAGAAGATGACTAACTATATAACCTTTAGAAGACATCTGAAGGCAGCCCTTTGTGATGTTTAATGTCTTATTCTGTTTTTATATATGCTGGAAGCCACACAGAGTGGCTGGGGCAACCCAGTCAGATGGGTGGGGTTCTTCTTCTTCTTCTTCTTCTTCTTCTTCTTCTTTATATTTATTTATTATTTATTTCTGTGGAGGCAGGCTGATTCAGGAGAAGACATTTGCTCAAATATACAGGTCAAGTTATGATGAGGGGCAAGGCCTTGTTACATAAGTATAACCAAGAGCATCGTGTTTTGTGTTGAAAGTTCTGAAGTGTATAAGACCAAGATGGTCTGGCAAATCTGAATTTGACTTCATGCTCTCTAAGCTGTGCTATTAATGGCAGTCACACCCATTAATAATAATGCACAAAGTAAAGGACAAAGATAATGTTTGCCAGTTTCAGAATAATAGTGCCTTGGATCTCAGAATCCTCTTTTAGGAACCTCTGACCCCAGGGATGCCCAAACTTTTTTCAAAGAGGGCCAAGATTTGATGAAGTGAACATGCGTGAGGGCTGACCGAAATTGTTGCCATGGGGACCGGTTTAGGCCTCCAAAACAGACTTTGGACATGTCTGCTATATGGCATCTTATTCGTCCATATTTCATATATATATATATATTCTTTATTTTTTTACCAAGAACCAAAACCCAACAGTGAAAACCCCCAGGTAGCTGATACATTGAGTATACATAATCAATAATAGCATATTCAAATCGGCCATATGTACAATTCTATATACATTAACACTCCTCACTCCACAAGGTTTATTTAACTTTTAACATTTTAATTGCCCCAAATTGTTCGAATCTACCTAAATAATTCAATATCTTCTCAAACCAATCCTCATTCTTCCTTTATAAAGCTTCTCAAATGAAGGAACGGTTGTCGAGAGCGGCATATAAATCAATCAAGGTCGAATTTTTAAAAAGTTACTTTCCTGACTTCTGCAAGCCTAACTACCAACAGACTCGCTTACAGTTTCTGCCTGGCAGAGTGGCATTATGTTTTTAATTTCTGGAGTAGAACATCTTATTTCTTTCAACATGCCAAATAGGGTGTACATGATTACATTTGTTGTAAAACTATTGATCGGTCATTCACATTTGAATGGGGAAGGCAAGTGAACAAGATGTTCATCAAGTTGTTTTCTGATTTAAGATGCTAAATAATGTAAAGTGTTTCAATTGTTGCATTTGAGCCCAGAAGCCTGGATTGGCAGCAGGCACGTGGGTTAAACCACAGAGCCTAGGGCTTGCCAATCAGAAGGTCGGCGGTTCGAATCCCTCATCTCGGCGGTTCGAATCCTCATCTGGGGTGAGCTCCCATTGCTCAGTCCCTGCTCCTGCCAACCTAGCAGTTTGAAAGCACATCAAAGTGCAAGTAGATAAATAGGTACCACTTAGTCATGCTGGCCACATGACCCGGAAGCTGTACGCCGGTTCCCTCGGCCAATAAAGCGAGATGAGCACCGCAACCCCAGAGCCGGCCACGACTGGACGTAATGGTCAGGGGTCCCTTTACCGTACTTTACCACTGACCCAGCCTCTGTTCTCTCGTGCTTCATTGAGCTGCGAAGACACATTTTTCTTCAGGTAATGTGAGAACTTGAAAATCAGTCCTTCTCAGCATGGGTTGGTTAGGCCGATAAAGAAAGCTACTATCCCTACTGTAACTTTCATCATCATCATCATCGTCATCATCATCATTTTATTTGTATGCCCCCTTTCCACAGTTAAAAACATTGCTCAAGGTAGCTTACGACATGACAAGATTTACATAATTACAAAAGTTATAGACAATAAACCACATCAAAAAAATACACAACCAAATGGAAAACAATTTCCACATAAATCAAAATCTAAAACTAAGAATGCAGCATTAATATCACAGTTTAAAATGCCATAGGTAAAAAATAATAGCAATTTTAAAAAATCATGCTTTTGTTTTGTTTTCCTTATAGGCTACAACCTTCTACATATTTATTCAACCCTTTCCAAGTTGCAACCTTTTATCTAAATACCAAGCCAATTATCTATTCCTCTTTCCCCACCAGTGACTATAGATAAGCATGGAACGATATACATTTTATTTTATTTTTATTTTTTAAAAACCACTTGCTTCAAACAGATGCTGGTGCTAGTTTGTATGCTTACTATGTGCTGAAGTTAACTTGGATACTGTTTATTTTCTTCAAAATGGTTATGCTCTGAAGTTACAGTATCTTTAAAGACACAACTTTAGAGGATCAGTTCATCCCCCTGTTTAAACCGTGGCAATTTTCCCTCTAAATAATAATAATAATAATAATAATAATTTATTACTTATACCACGCCCAATCCACTTGTTCTAAAGTGATTGTGGAAGTTACGATGCTTGCTGCTGTTTTGGAGATTATTGGCAGGTTTATTGGGTTTTAGTATATTGTTTAGTTGTTTTTATTTTTATTATTCTTTTATTCTGCAAACCACTCTGTGATTTTAAATGAAGAGTGGCAGGTTAAATAAGTTTAAACTCTGTATATCTCAGTACAGTAGAACCTCGGGTAATGTAAACTTCGGGTTGCGAAAGCGGCAAACCTGGAAGTATTTTTCTGGCTTTCGCCACTTGCGCATGCGCAGAAGCTCTCACCGTGCTGCGCACATGCGCAGAACAGGCACCTCCAGTTGCGGAAACCTCAGAATCTGAGCGGAGCTCCGGAAGGAATCCTGTCCGCAACTGGAGGTACCGCTGTATAAGTAGTGCTCTGCTGCAGAAGTAGTAAATAACTTTTCTTAGACCGGATATCCAAGTTCAACACAAGCATGGGCCTTTTCTGTGGTGGCTTCCCATCAATGGAATACTTTCCCCAGAGATGCTTGCCTGGCGCTGCCATTACATATCTTTAGGCACCAGGTGAAAATATTCCTCTTTGCCCAGGCCTTTGGCCATTATATAATCTATGGGCTATTAAATGGGAGAGGGGACTGTTACTATGATTATTTTATTATTCGGCTTTGTATTATGTTTTTTATGATGATGTGTAAATTATGTTCTTCATGT